AGTACTGTAGTACTGTAGTACTGTAGTACTGTAGTACTGTGTGTGAGGGTAAAAGTCAACGCTGCTCTGCTGTAGGACACGTCAGGATCAACTGGTCGTCAGGGACAGAAGTATAAAAAACAAACACTGGGTACTACAGCCTGTACTGCAATGTACACATAGTATTACTGCATGTCTGAGAGGACGTAGGTCCAGTCAGTACCTGATAATATTTTGTGATTAATCCCATGATTTTCTAATCCTAAACCCTAAACCCTAAACCCTCAACTGTTTTAGGTTTAGGTGTAGCGGGCTATAGAGGACGTGAATGAGTGTGTGTGTGTGTCTTACTTAGCTGGACCCTCTGGAGGGGGGGGGGTCTCCACTGCCTGTGGGTGGGTGGGGGCCTCCACTCATTACAACGGGTCACCTCTCTCTCATGGAGAGTTTTCACGGCTGTGGAGCGGATTAGGAGGAGAGGCAGAGGGAGAGAGGGTGAGGAGGAGGAGAGGGGAGGAGGGTAGCATTAGCATCAACACTGGGGTATCGGTCCAGTACTGGTCTGTAGACCACAGCCCAGTCTGTAGACCACAGAGAGTCTGCAGCGCCCCCTTGTGTGACACATTCAAAGTCATGGTTCCTTCAGAGCTGCTGCTCACACTGAACCGTGGAAACCAAAGCCACCGTCGTCTCCTCGCGTCTCCTCCCATATTTGGAATGCAGCCAGTGCTGCCGCAGGTCAAAGGTGACGGAGGAGAATATTGTTGGACTTCCTTTATGAATTGTTTACTTCACATTTTAATGTCTTTGTGAGCGGAGCCTGAAGGTGATTAAGACTGAAGTGAATCACACACTAAAGCAGACAAACTTTCTTTACAGTCGCCGTTTGAACTCTGCTCTTTACTGCTCTCTGCTGGTCACACACACACACACACACCAGCCTGCACACACACACACACACACACACACACACACAGTTGGTCCTAAAGAGGAAAATTTCTCTGCAGCATTTTCTCCACATCGTAAAGCGTCTGCTGTTAAATCGATGTTTTTTCAATCCGTCTGCCTCCCCCCCATCCCTCCCCCCCACCCCGCTCCCCCCTGACATTTCCAGATAATGTTGGCGTTGGGTTGATTTGGGGGGAGTTTGCAGACCATATGCTGCCGTGTCAGACACCTACATTTAGGCAGTGGGCGGCTCTGAATGCCTGAACAGGAGCATGGCCGCGGCCTGTTTATCTAATGCGCCTGTTAACGTTATTTATTGGAACTTCGTCCGCTCCGGTTCCTCCGTGCATGCTAAGAAGACACACATAAGATATGCAAATGCTAACGTCGGCCCAACTTCACGGCAGTAAAACCCAGCATTTGCATTTGATGTAGCACATAATAAACGGGTTATTAGCATTTTAAATGCGTCAAACAAAGTTGAAAAATGTGGCCTGTGTTTGTGCGGCTCTTAATACAGACGGAGCACACACACACGCACACACGCACACACATACACACACACATAGGCAAGGCCACGAGTGCCGTCATGGGCCGGAACGCGGCGTGCACGTGCAGTGTCATAAATTTTCAAAGTTCCAAAGTAAACAGGATCAAACTGATGTCAGAAGAAGCTTATAAAGACACTGAGGGAGGAGGAGGAAGAGGAGGAGGAGGAGGAGGAGGAGGAGGAGGAGGATCCAGACTCACAGGATCCAGGAACCAGGACCTGGTTCTAGGTTTCAGAAGTCTTTCCTGCCGTCACTGAACCTAAAGTCTAGACCTGAAGACAACCAGGCTGAAGTCAACGGCAGGTTTTAAATGGACGAGAACTTTGGTGCTGGAGAACTTCAGTGAGTTCTGCTGCCCCCTCTCCTGTCCTCACCCCTCCTGTCCTCACCCCTCCTGTTCTTACCCCTCCTGAAAACCAACATGTTTGAATTCATTTGTGTTTTTTTGCCTAAACAGAACATTATCAGAGGAGGAGAAATGTCTGAATTTTTTTTTTAAATCATCAGTTATGATGTGATCGTCTCTCTGACAGTAACCAGGTCTGACAACCTGCTGTGATGTACAGGACACACACACACACACACTGACACAGATGTGTGTGTCGGTGTGTGTGTGTGTTCTGGCTCCGTGTTAATCCGACATGTTAATCTCTCTTCTCCTCTTTCTCTCCGTCAAAGACACAAACACACTTTCTTTCATTCTCCACTCACACACACACTCGGCTTCATGTTCTGGTCATGTGCACCCATTGGCCCGGGGGGGGAGGCAAGGGGAGGGAGAAGAAGGAGACACAAAATGACACAGGGAGCAGAATGGGGAGGAGAGGAGGCGAGGCTGGAGCTGCAGCCTGAAAGGAGGCGAGGGGAGGTGTTCGATTGTCCTCCTCTGAAAGGGCCGGGCCGCAGGCTGGGGAGGAGCTGTGTCGATGGGTGTGTGTGTGTGTGTGTGGGTGTGTGTGTGACAGCCACCTTCACTATCAACCATGTCTTGACTCGACGCCGTTGAAGAAAAGTTTGTACCAAACCTGGTCACATGACAGAGCAGAGCTGCGTTCACTTTACTTCAAACTGGAGTTTGAAGTTTGTTTTTAAAAACTTTTACTCCAGGATGGAGGAATCCCAGAGCAGATGGACGAGAGTCAGAGTGGAGAGTGTCAGAGAGAGAGAGAGAGAGAGAGCTGGAGGATGAATGAATAAACTCAAACTCTCTCTCTGTCGCTGCTTTGATCCCGTGGTGTTTATGTGTAGAGATGAACATCAAAGGGATTTGTTTGTCTTCTTCTTCATTGACGTTCCACAGAAATCCAAACAAACCCTCAGATTAGAGCCAGGCTTTGAATTAAGAAGATAATCAAAGGACTCGACAGAGGCTGATCACAGACATCACAGCCAACGTGATGGAGACGGAGGTCCTCATTAATATGGGGGGGGAGGTGGTCTGCTTCTTGGAAGACAGTGGTGGTAATTAGTCAAAAACAAGAGCAATTAACATTCCAGTAATGAAGAAACACACCTTCATGTGAAGACGCTCTGACGATGAAGATGATGATGAAGATGATGAAGATGAAGAAGATGATGATGATGATGATGATGATGATGAAGATGATGAAGATGA